AGGGATTTGACATTAAAGGCCTCTCTTTAAACATTTGCTGGATTCTGGATTATTGTACAGCAGTTGCTTTCAATCTGGTATCTCCCAACAAGGCTGAAAGCTGAGAGTTGGAGAGCAGAAATCTAACACATCTCGAAGATGCTATGGAGGAAGAACAGTAGGCTACCACAAAAAGCAGTTCTTTTCAGAATCCAATTATTGTATATATGTAGCATTCCTGAGAGCAAGGCAATCTGTCAGAAACATTAGGATGGCAACTGTGAATGTGCTATCAAAGTATTCTCCACTCTTACGCGCAATTAAAAAGGAACTGGCTTCAATTGTGAAATTGCAGCCATTCTCTTCACATTTTTGAACACCACTGTGGATGTTCCTGCCTGACAGCCAGGTTCAGAAGTAAATTACTCGAGCTTTTTGTTTTTCAATTTATGACAATGAACGCATAATACCGGCGAAGTAAGATTCATGAGCTCCAGTTGATCTCTGAAACTCAAGAATGGAGCACCCATGCCAGACAATGATTTCCTCCCTGTTTCTTGATAATGTATGAACTGAATCTGAGATTAAAACCCAAAGGAAAAATATATATATTTCTCACAAATGTTTTATTTTACACCAGAATCATATACAGAGGCTAGAATCATTGGGTCAAACTTATCTGGTTTAACAGTCAAAATACACTACTATCAATCATAATTTCTTGTCCACATCTTTATAACGTTTGGGGAAAAAAACACCTTGAACATTCCGATTACCATGGGTTACATAGAAATAAGTCCTGCTGATGTCAAGAGAATTATCTTCCATATAAGCAGTTCTCTAACACTTTCTATATCAACCACAACCACCAGAAAAATCTAAATAGCTTTTATTAAAATATTGATATTGGCAGATATAAACACGTTTCAGAATAGAGTATTTTGTTCTGTAATTAGAGTAAAAGGGTTGATGCTACTTAAAAATAAGACTTGTATTTTTCTGTGTATATAACAACCCACTGAGGTTTTTTTTTAATAAAATCCAACATAAAGAGAAAACTTTCAGATTAAAATATCTCACTTCCTACACATTTCCACCCCAAACTATATTTTTCTTCTCGACATGAATAACAAGACTTGTCCTTTAGTGGTAGATAATTTTAGAGAAACCACATGCATCTGAGCCAAACTGTCAGGCTTCATCTGCCTTTCAAACTCAAATTTAAGGAGACTTGTGTATGCAGAATGTAAACCTTAGAGTAATATTCTGATATTTATGTATATATTATATTTTTAACCTACCCAGTATTCTCTCATTGGATAAAACAGAAGCCCAGTAAAAAAATAATAATAATAAAGTTTACAGAATTTACAATATGTAAACAGTGCTATTTCCCAGAGACATAATTAAAATTACTGTATGTCACTTTAAAATCTGTGGTCTAGATCCTAAAATGCCAGGCATAACAAGAGTGAAACTGTACCACTGTCTCAGTTAAAATTATTCTTTCAGAATGTGGATCTTCTTTCTAGGATGGGTAACATTTGTCATGAGAAGAGTTATTCTTCCATTTGACCTAAACGTATGCATTCCTCTAATGCACGTAGACCTGTAGCACATAGAGCTAAGCTTTCCCCTTTCTTCCCTTTCCCTTTCACCGATTCATCATCTCCCATAAAACTCACACAGGAGTTTTCCCAAATGTGGTGCCTTCCATAATGTCTACCTTGTCAAGTCTTGGCTCTGCTGACTGGGAATTATAAGAGTCATATCTCTAGAGGATACCAGATTGGAGAAGCCTAATAGATACAATCAGAAACTCCTGGAAGCATTGGAATAACTTTTCAACTAAATCTTTAATCTAGACTCCTAGAATACAGAATATGTTTTCCATCAGATATTGTCACAGAAGCTGTGGCCATTCATCTGTTAAGTCTTCCATGCTTTTTAACTTCCAGATCCCAATATGGGGCTTCCTTGCCACAGTCTCTGACTAATTGGAATCCTCAAATTTAAACAACTCAAATTAAAGATCAATCACTGTTCCATCTCCCCAATATTTTATTCCACTGTGCCTTTCATCTGGATTCCATTTTTTTTTTCAAATAGTGAGTTTCACAGGCTTAGAAAGCCTTCAGCTTTCACCAGATGATTTAAGTTTTCACACTAAAGATTTTGCACACTTTCACAAAGGGCTGTGCTACTCCTGTAATCCTTCCTATTGTATAGGAAGTAGTGCCATTTTTATTTAGTGACTGCTGGATTTGGTTTAGATTCTGTCTTTCTGCTTGCATGAGTACTCAAGGCAACTGACGATAACTAAAGTACAAGGTGCAAAATGAAAAGTTTTAAAAGATTAATTAAAGTATATATTAAACTTAATTTGAAATTAACATCCTGGTGAAAGATATATGAGTGAGCTGCCTTGTAAAGCAGAGAGAATAGGGCTAAAAAAGATAGTGGAGTTCATTCTGCTGCCTGGCAAGGTCTGCAAAAGAAGGCCTTGTCCTACATGCCAGATAAATGAGTTTCTGACAGTGGAACAATCTTCAAAATATCCTTTCCTGTAGATCAGATTAGCTTGATAGACTTATAATGGGAGAGACTAACCCTTAGATAGACAGACCTAAGACATATAGACACTCCCCCCATCTCAAGTCCTGCTTTGCTGCCTCCTCGTGGCAGAAGGGTGTTCCTGGGACGGCTAAGCAAAGACTGCAGGGAGTGTATGCCAAGACTATATAGTTCCAGGAGAGTTACCTAGGTGTGAAGGTCATCCCAGCTGCCCAGCTAAAGCAAGCAGGCAAAGAAGAGGCTGGAGGCAGACAATCACTTTAGTGACAATGGCAAAGGCAACAATTCATACTGGGTGGGAGAAGACAATGGTAAAAGACTCCTGGATTATAACAACAACAACAACAATGATGATGTCAGCCCTTCATAATAGATCAGACTAGAAAACCAATGCCATGTACTGTAGGTCAGTACTACTTTTGTTGTAAAGCTATGGTAACAGAATCTAAATCTGAATGCGCTTCCCCTCTCCCTCCCTTTATCTTTGTGTGAACTAGGGAGGGACTTGCCTGAGATGTTTACTCACATTACGTTCTTGCCCTGGGCTTAAATTCCTTTAATCTGACTGTTGCCTTGGTAGCAGCTCTTTCTCCTGTCCCTCAAGGCCTTTTCCTCTTTCTTCTCCAAATAACAATTTATTAAATTTATATACCACTGGACTCTTAATGACTCTGGGAAGTTTTCACCAAGAAAAGCACATGGATAGATAATATAAAATTATGATTCAATAGTAAAGGAACAAGCAGTCAAGAAATATGCCACAGACTAGCACTTGGTAGAAGAGCCATGAAAGTCTTGGAAAAGATATTCAGATGTCATAATGATCAGAATAGTGCAAGCAATTACATTCCCTGTGACACTCTATTAAAGCAAACGTTGGACTTTGAAGAAACAGGATAGGAAGAGTATTGATGCTTTCGAACTTTTGTGTTGGAGAGGACTCCTGAGAATACCATGGATAGCCAAGAAAACAAATGGATCATTAAACAAATCAACTCAGAGTTCTTACTCTAGGTAGAAATGACCAGACATAGATTATCCTACTTTGGACACATTATGAAAAGACCTAGCTCTCTGGAGAAGGCTTTAGTGCTGGAAAATGTAGAAGGAAGGAGAAGAAGGAGATGACCAGCAGCAAGGTATATAAACTGAATTACAGTGGTGATGGGTGCATCATTAAAAGACCTGAAAGACCAGGTTAGGGATAGATCATTATGGAAAAAATCTATGTGGCTGCTAAGATTTGATACTGACTTGATGACACATAATCAATCAATCAATCAATCAATCAATCAAACCAAATAGAACTTTAAACATTAACACTATCACCTTAAGTAATAGCCACACAGAGTTTAGAGTTGGGTGGCATACAAGTTTAATCAATTATAATTACTATGGTTGGTTGCACAGTCAGCCAGATGTTTAGACTGGATT